GCTCTTGGCAAAAAATCAATTTACCGTAAAGTTGTTTTTTTACATATGCTAGTTTAAACCATCACAAAATCCCACATGTATACACACAAGTATATATACAAGATATCCATATCAGTTATCCACCGGATATCCAGTGGATATACATTAAATGTACAGTGGATATACTTTGGACATACATTAGTTATCCATTGGATATATATTAGAGATACTTTGTTGAAATTGGGTTAATAACGATTTAAATCATATTTATTAATCATTACATAAATTTATCCTATAAGGGGCTATTTTAACAAAGAAAAAAATATTTTTAATGTTTTTGTTTTTTTTTTGAACATCCAGTATGGATATCCATTGGATATCCAGTGGATATCCAGTGGATATACATTAGATGTACAGTGGATATACTTTGGACATACATTAGTTATCCATTGGATATATATTAGAGATACTTTGTTGAAATTGGGTTAATAACGATTTAAATCATATTTATTAATGATTACATAAATTTATCCTATAAGGGGCTATTTTAAAAAAGAAAAAAATATTTTTAATGTTTTTGTTTTTTTTTTGAACATCCAGTATGGATATCCATTGGATATCCAGTGGATATCCAGTGGATATACATTAGATGTACAGTGGATATACTTTGGACATACATTAGTTATCCACTGGATATATATTAGAGATACTTTGTTGAAATTGGGTTAATAACGATTTAAATCATATTTATTAATCATTACATAAATTTATCATATAAGGGGCTATTTTAAAAAAGAAAAAAATATTTTTAATGTTTTTGGTTTTTTTTTGAACATCCAGTATGGATATCCATTGGATATCCAGTGGATATCCAGTGGATATACATTAGATGTACAGTGGATATACTTTGGACATACATTAGTTATCCATTGGATATATATTAGAGATACTTTGTTGAAATTGGGTTAATAACGATTTAAACCATATTTATTAATCATTACATAAATTTATCCTATAAGGGGCTATTTTAAAAAAGAAAAAAATATTTTTAATGTTTTTGTTTTTTTTTGAACATCTACTATGGATATCCATTGGATATCCAATGGATATCGTAAAAGGCATGGATGTTATATGGACATTGGGATAGCCATTGGATATCCATTGGATAGCGTGTTCTGTGTGGGTGGATCCTTTCTGAGGGAGGCAACAATAACAATGGACCAAAAATAGAGGTAGAAACGTTCAGTATTGTAAATTTTATGGCACAACTTCGCATTAATCACTTTTCCCAGTGCTATTTCATTAATTATATATTGTGTTTAAATGTAAATCGGGCTTTAGCCGCAGCCCACTTTAATTTATTGAAGAAACGTATCGAATAAAATACACAAGCTACTTTATGATCGATTTAGATTTTTTTTTGAGTTGACATATTTTATTTGATTTATAGTTTCTGCTGTTTGATTTATTAATTCCCACGCCACCGATTTTAATCAAATAAAACCAAGTTATATTATCATTAAATTACAAATAAAAAAATGGCCAACTTATGTAGTAGCGTGTTATTACCTATGCCTAATTACCCAACTTGGGTTACAATCTTAAAATATTATCTTATCAGTGTACTGTTTAAAATATAACTTTAAATATTTTATTTAACAAAGTATGGTAATACGATGAAGGCGTTTTTGAGCTTTGTTATAATTTTTGGTGGTATTTGTAGTAAATGTAAAAGTGACGAAGTAAAAAATTTAACTAATGTTGTACAACAAACAGTTTTGGAAAGTTTCAAGTATCAGTTTCCTAAAGATGCCTCACAGTATAAGCCAAAAAATATAATTACAAAGGGTAAGTTTAAACTACATACTTATTATTTCGTTTATTTTGCTTTTAATGATAAGCAGTAGGTACCTAATGGGGTCAAAACTTAATAACCAGGTCATTTAGACGTTATGGTTAAAACAAATATTAATTAAAAGATAACACAAAATTGCTTTTAATATATTAATAGCTTTATTGGGTTTATATTAGTATTAGTACTAGTTTATACCCCGTGAATTTTTTTAAATATTTTTTCTTAAATGAAACGTTCATTGAGAGAAATCATTGGGAAGTCATCATGAGCTCATGTCATGAATACCGATATCAAAGCTACGCAAAATTTAAAAAAAACGAATACTTACTTACGCCTCATTAGAAACTTGTATTTGCTATCATTTTTGTAGAAGCTATGACGTCATCGGCCTTTTTTTTAATTTGTACCCCCACTTTTTTAGCAAATTCGAATAGATTATGAAATTCTGAATTCAGCAATATACACATGTATACCTTTTGGGATGATAGTTTTGGGTAATATTAAATTTAAAAGTTCGTGATTTAAAATTTTTGATTTCCAAAAAAATATTTTTTTATCTTCATGAAAATTATTTTGAAAATGCTTTTAATGGATCAATTAACCAATTTAATGTTCGAATTGCTCCCTTTTGGTTTCCTGACAGTAAGCAAGCCTATCCGAAAATTTTCTGAGAACGTTTTGGATGACTTCCGCACTAATAAAGGGACATTCTTCACGAATTTGATTTTTCAAGTCTTCTAAATTTTGTGGTCTGTTGATGTAGTCCTTTGATTTAAGGTAGCCCCTTAAGAAATAATCGAGAGGGGTGATATCTGGAGATCTCGCTGGCCACTCCATCGGTCCTGGTCTGCCAAATTGCAATCTTCTTGTTGTGTTCTAGTTTTATTTATTTATAATAATAATTTTTATTATTTTTCTTACTAAATCCATCTAAACTTCGAAGAAGTTGCTACTGACCCTGATAATTTGGCAACGTTTTTAATTTTTTCAGATTATGGTGTCTTTGATTTTATAATTGTTGGAGGTGGTTCAACTGGGACCGTAGTAGCAAATCGATTATCGGAAAATTCAAAATGGAAAATTCTGCTTCTCGAAGCTGGTGGTTGGTTATCCAAACAAAGTTACCGATATTCCTGCCATGATGTCTTATACCCGATTATCAAATTTTAATTGGGGTTTTAATTCCACAACCCAAAAGTATGCATGTTTAGGTACCTATTAGTATTTTTGTTGGTTATTAGTGGTAAAAATGTATTTTTTAGGAATGATTGATGAGAGATGTAGAGTTCCCCGTGGAAAAGGCATTGGTGGCACATCTCTTATAAACGCTCTTATGTATCTTAGAGGGAACCCATTGGATTTTGATCGATGGGCTAAAATGGGCAACCCTGGATGGTCGTATAAAGAATTATTGCCATACTTTAAAAAATCAGAAAGTATGCATCAAAATTACGATAAGACTGTTGTGGACTGGAGATATCATGGAACAAGTGGAGAATTGGATGTGGAGTTTATGATTCCCGACAATTTAACAAATACATTTTTGAAAGGATTTTCAGAGTCGGGTTTTAATTTAACTGACGTAAATTCGCGAAAACAAATTGGTTATTCACCGTTACCAGTAAACCAAAAAAACGGTCGCCGAATGGATGATGGCACTGCTTTTATTTTACCAATTCTAAATAGAACAAATCTACGTGTTTTAACAGGTGCTTATGCAACAAAATTAAACATCATTAATAAAGTTGCTAAAGGAGTGACATTTTCCTACAAAAACATTTTATATACAGCCAAAAGTACAAAAGAAGTAATTGTGTCTGCTGGAACTATTAATACGCCACAACTCTTGATGTTATCGGGCGTGGGTCCAAAACAACATCTCAAAGAAAAAGGGATTCAACTTGTTGAGAATCTTCAAGTTGGTTCGGTTTTAAAAGAACAGCCAATTTATCATGGAATGGCATTAACAAGTAATTTAACTATACCAAAAACTAGTATCAAAGAAAAGGTTCGACAGTATTTAAATGGCACTGGACCATTGACCGTTTCTTCAGCCACGACTGCAGTTGCTTTTCTAAAAACAAAAATGGAAAAAAGTAAAAATTATCCAGATTTGGAGATATTACTTAGCACAGCTTGTCCTTCTACTTCACCTAATGTTATAGGTTGGAAACCCGAGACAATAGAGTCTCTATATGGGGCCATAAATTGCTTTTTGTTGCTTCCTATTGTTTTGCACGAGAGATCATCTGGAAGTATTCGATTAAATAGCAAAAGTCCATATGAATATCCCTTGATTGACGTTAATCTCTTATCTAATTCCAAAGACGCAGATACCATTTATGAAAGCATCAAATTTATGTTAAAATTATTGAAAACAGATTCGTTCAAGAAAATTAATGCCACCTACGCAGGAAAGCCATTGAAGGCCTGCTCACACTTGAAGTTTTTATCTAAAAAATATTGGTACTGTACCATCGCACAGGCCACATTCCACGTATACCATCCAGTAGGTTCCTGTCCAATGGGACCTGATAGAGCAAAGGGAGCTGTGGTTGACCACAATCTCAAGGTTTATGGTCTAACTAATTTAAGATTGGCTGATGCCAGTGTATTTCCCTTCACAATTTCAGGACATCCACATGCTACTTGTACAGTTATTGGAGAAAAACTATCAGATATTTTAAAAATACGATATCGTCATAACGAGTCGTTAAGAAGCTTTTAAGCATTCCCACATAACACAAAAATATATTTAATATTGAATAAATAGTTTTACTAAATGAACTAAATATTTTAAAATTATTAGTAATTGTTATTTAAATGCCTCTAAAACATTTAGATGTTCCACTTTTTATATTTATACAATATTTGTTTACAACAGTTTTAAAACATTTTTGTAAATGTTTTATAGATAGGTACATTACCTTAGGTATATTTTATTATGTTTCCTCAACACCACAAAAATATCTGGAAATATTTTCAAAATATTTATCCGATTTGACACCACCAGATGATTTCTTGCCAAAAAAATACCCCAGAAAAAGCATCATTATTTTCGCAATAACCCTTTCTGAAATAATTAACAAAAACCTGATTTTGAGAAACATTTTAAAATGCAATGCCATTTTTCCGGACATCCTGTATACGTATATATAATATATTATATATATATATAACCTACTTTTGTGGTAGCTTACCTATGCCTAATTACCCAACTTGGGTTATAATCTTAAAATATTATCTTATCAGTGTATTGTTTATAATTTAACTTTTAATATTTTATTTAACAAAGTATGGCTATACGATGAAGGCGTTTTTGAGCTTTGTTATAATTTTTGGTGGTATTTGTAGTAAAGGTAAAAGTGACGAAGTAGAAAATTTAACTAATGTTGTACAACAAACAGTTTTGGAAAGTTTCAAGTATCAGTTTCCTAAAGATGCCTCACAGTATAAGACAAAAAATATAATTACAAAGGGTAAGTTTAAACTACATACTTATTATTTCGCTTATTATGCTTTTAAAAATAAACAGTATTACTGTTTATTGACTATAGTCACCTAATGGGGTCAAAACTTAATAACCAGGTCATTTAGTTTTTAATATATTAATAGCTTTATTGGATTTATCTTTTATTTATTAATCTATTGGTATTTTTAGAGATGTAAAAAACGGTTTTTTTCAGATGTGAAAAAAACATGAAAAAAAAACTAAAAAAAACGGTTTTTTTTTGTTTTTTTTTTCAAATCCGCTACAATAAAGCATCTTAAAAAATGAAGTAATTTTTAAAATGAAATTTTGAGTAAAATGTATATTAATAATGAAATGTAGAATACGAGGTGTGTTCAGTAAATAACGGGAATTGTTAAATTTCGCGGCTTCGGACCCTCTGAAGCGGTTGTCAAAAAATTTTCTTTATTATGTTGGTATACATGCCCCCGCAGTATGATAAAAACTTTAGCTGTTTTCATTGTTTACTTTGTCTGTGGTAGCCGCTAAGGTTAGACGTGTTTTATGAGCTCGGCGATTTTCGTTCGTTAAAAGAAATGGATCAAAGAGAATTTGTATCTAATTTTGCTTAAAAAATTAAATAAATTCTGTGAAATGTTAATTAACATTTCACAGAATTTATTTAATTTTTTGTTAACAAAGGCCTACAGTGAGTCTGCTATAAGTAAAACAAGAGTTTACAAGTGGTATAAGAGTTTCCAAAATGGCCGTGAAGACGTTGAAGATGACGAACGCCCCGAACGCACAAGCACATTAACAACCGATAAAAACATGGAAAAAGTGGAAGAAATGGTTATAAACCATCAGAGAAGTCGCTGATGATGTTGGTATATCGATTGGTTCATCCCATGAAATTTTTTCAAATGTTTTGGGTATGAAACGCGTGGCAGCAAAATTTGTTCCAAAATTGTTAAATTTTGAACAAAATTTTTGGCCAAAAACAATACTGTAATGATGCCCCAGCCTCCATATTCCCCAGACATGCCTCTGTCTGACTTTCCTATTCCCAAAAATAAAGAGAACCTTAAAGGGCCGTCGTTTTACAAGCATAGATGACATTAAAAGCGCATCGCTGAAAGAACTAAAGGCTATCCCAAAGATTAAGTTTTAGAAGGGTTTCGAGTATTGGAAGAAGAGCTGGCACATGTGCATAATATCCAATGGGGACTATTTTGAAGGCGACAACATTAATGTAGACGAATAAATAAATATTTGTTTCAAAAAACGAAAATTCCCGATATTTTCTGAAGACACCTCGGATATTACATTTTTCATTATTGAAAATTTTGACCGAGACTAAAAAATCTTATTTCTTATTATTTGGTAGTTTCCACATATAGCAATGTAAAACTTTTACACTAATAGAAAAAATTAAAGGATAAAAAAAAATTAAAAATTTTTTGCGATTTTTCTGATAGCTGTATGTATCTTCGTTAAAAATGGTCGTATTGGACCCGTCAAAAGTTTTTAGTTTTGAGATTTTTAATTGAAAAACGTGCAACGCTCAATCCTAACGAATACCGTAATAAAAAAATTCCACGGAATGTTGTGACTTAACCACCAATGAATAAATGTTCATTCACTAGAATTTTCTATTGTTTTTTAAAAAAAAAAATTCCATACTCTACATGAATTTGAAAAATCTTGAAAAAAGTGCTTTTGGTAGCCTTTTGAAAAATCAAGCGCTGAATCAAAAATATTATAGGTAGTTACTTTTTTTAGGACCAAATCAAAACAAGCGCGGCCCTTATTGGTCAATTCGTTTGTGGTGGCGCGTGCATGGGACTAATCTTGAAAAAAACCTTAAAATATAAAAAAAACCTGAAAAAACAAAAAAAAACTGACCGTTTTTTTAAGTCGCATGTCTAGGTATTATACAGGATATTTTTTATACCCCTTAATTTTTTTTTCTATTTTTTCTTAAATGAAACGTGATGATGTTCATTGAGAGAAATCATTGGGAAGTCATCATGAGCTCATGTCATGAATACCGATATCAAAGCTACACAAAATTTAAAAAAATTAGAAACTTATGTATGAGATTAGATGAGCTTGTATTTTTTCACAAACAATTCCTTGCACATCGACGGTCTTTGCATTTTAATTCCGCAAAATTTTGTAGAAGCTATGACGTCATCGGCCGTTTCATGAAAATTCGTGACCCCGATAATTTGGCAACGGGTTTAATTTTTTCAGATTATGGTGCCTATGATTTTATAATTGTTGGAGGCGGTTCAACTGGGACCGTAGTAGCAAATCGATTATCAGAAAATTCAAAATGGAAAATTTTGCTTCTCGAAGCTGGTGGTTATCCCAACAAAGTTACCGATATTCCTGCCATGATGTCTTATGACCAATTATCAGATTTTAACTGGGGTTTTAATTCCACAACCCAAAATTATGCATGTTTAGGTAATAGTATTTTTGTTGGTAATTAGTGGTAAACATATATTTTTTAGGAATGATTGACGAGAGATGTAGAATTCCTCGTGGGAAAGGCATTGGTGGCTCATCTCTTATAAACGCTCTTATGTATCTTAGAGGAAACCCATTGGATTTTGATCGATGGGCTAAAATGGGTAACCCGGGATGGTCGTATAAAGAATTATTGCCATACTTTAAAAAATCAGAAAGTATGCATCAAAATTACGATAAGACTGTTGTGGACTGGAGATATCATGGAACAAGTGGAGAATTGGATGTGGAGTTTATGATTCCCGACAATTTAACAAATACTTTTTTGAAAGGATTTTCAGAGTCGGGTTTTAATTTAACTGATGTAAATTCGCGAAAACAAATTGGTTATTCACCGTTGCCAGTAAACCAAAAAAACGGTCGCCGAATGGATGATGGCACTGCTTTTATTTTACCAATTCTAAATAGAACGAATCTACGTATTTTAACAGGCGCATATGCAACAAAATTAAACATCATTAATAAAGTTGCTGAAGGAGTGACATTTTCCTACAAAAACATTTTATATACAGCCAAAAGTACAAAAGAAGTAATCGTGTCTGCTGGAACTATTAATACGCCACAACTCTTGATGTTATCGGGCGTGGGTCCAAAACAACATCTCAAAGAAAAAGGGATTCAACTTGTTGAGAATCTTCAAGTTGGTTCGGTTTTAAAAGAACATCCAATGTATCATGGAATGGCATTAACAAGTAATTTAACTATACCAAGGGAGAGTATTAAAGAACAGGTTCGACAGTATTTAAATGGCACTGGACCATTGACGGTTTCCATGGGCGCGACTGCAGTGGCTTTCTTAAAAACAAAAATGGAAAAAATAAAAAATTATCCAGATTTGGAGATATTACTTAGCACAGCTTGTCCTTCTACTTCGCCTAATGTTATAGGTTGGAAACCCGAGACAATAGAGTCTCTATATGGGGCCAAAAATTGCTTTTTGTTGCTTCCTATTGTTTTGCACGAGAGATCATCTGGAAGTATTCGATTAAATAGCAAAAGTCCATATGAATATCCCTTGATTGACCTTAATCTCTTATCTAATTCCAAAGACGCAGATACCATTTATGAAAGCATTAAATTTACCTTAAAATTATTGAAAACAGATTCGTTCAAGAAAATTAATGCCACCTACGCAGGGAAGCCATTAAAGGCCTGCTCACACTTGAAGTTTTTATCTAAAAAATATTGGTACTGTACCATCGCACAGGCCACATTCCACGTATACCATCCAGTAGGTTCCTGTCCAATGGGACCTGATAGAGCAAAGGGAGCTGTGGTTGACCACAATCTCAAGGTTTATGGGCTAACTAATTTAAGATTGGCTGATGCCAGTGTATTTCCCTTCACAATTTCAGGACATCCACATGCTACTTGTACAGTTATTGGGGAAAAACTATCAGATATTTTAAAAAAGCGATACAAGTGACTATCGTCATAACAAGTCGAGCATTGTTCCTCATTAGATTGAATAAAATATTTGCATTTTAAATTGGTGTATAATAACTTGCTGCTCTAATAATTTTGACAAACAATATAGTCATTGTTGGAAGAAAATATTTAAAACCAATTTTTTGGACCACCCTTTTATATAAAAAAATTGTCACGATATTTAAAATAGAAGTTTGTTTCGGCTATTATGGTAAAATCTCTATCCCTTTTGTATAGGCAACCACTGTTTAATGGGTTGCCTATTATATTATCACATGTGTGGATTTTTTTTTAATAACGGTTTTAATATACCTAAATAAACAACCATTGTTTTTAGAATGGTATTACTACTAACTTCGATAAATAATAAATATCCACTAAGCACAAATACATTTCAAACTTACGGGATAATATATTTAGGTGGGTAGCTAAAAAGTTTATAGAAAGCCACTGGGAAATAAACAAAAACTTTTTTAATTTACAAAGTGACTAGAAGTACACCGGGAGTACCGCTATTAAAAGTACACCGGGTGGAAAAAAATCCTTATTTAGCATATATGCTAATATATTTGTCAATTGTATAATATTAAATGGTCGCTCAATGGGGCGGGGGGCCCAATGGGGCGGGGTCGGTTGGGTTGGGTTGTTGAGTTTGGGTTGGTTTGGGTAATTCATACTGACATTTCATTAATTTTGTTGTTAATTGTATTTCAATCAATTAATTAAATTTTAATCAATGTTTATACAACTTGAAAGTAAGCTTAATAATTACATAATTAATATCAAGAGTTAACCAGCTCTTTACCAACTGTTATACAACTGGGCCCAGAGGCGAATTATCCCTAAGGCAAACTAGGCACGTGCCTAGGGGCGCGAGGTTACAAGGGGGCGCGAGGTTTGATAAAAACGCAAGTTTTTATTAAAGAAAGATTTACAACTTATTGGTTTGATTATTTAATCAGCACGCGCACGTGAGCTTGAAACGAAGAAAATAATTAACATAAAATTAAAATTGAGTATGAGTATAAGGAACGTATGGCAGGCCCCATCGCAACGCCTAGGAGGTCGAGGATGACAGTTTGGATGGTTAGGCCACTCCCGGAGTTTTTTCGTCAGGCCGGGCCATACGCCAGATTAAGGCTAATGGAGTACGGGACAAGAAGGGAAAACATTTTGGTTTTTGGGTGACATTGGACTGACCCAAAACTAAGTACTATCCGGAATCCCCCTTAACCAGGGATTTAGTAATGCCCCCATTTATATGTGGTTCATGAATGAGGTTTGGTTGGTTAGTACGCTGCTAGGAACTACCTTTGCTGGTCTTGTAGTCTGCTGAAATTCAGAAACTGTTGTGAGCAATTGTTTGCCCCACTGTGCGAAAACCGTTTCCTCAGTGTAGGGGTCGAGAACTATCGATGGATAGTTGTCTTCATTTTGTGGAGAAATTGTATTTACGTTTTCTTTTTCTTTTCTAACCATTAGAAGTTACATTTATAATATTTATTCTATATAATTGCTCTTAACTTTGCTTTTTTTAATTCTCTTATACAGCTAGCAGCATGCAATGCCTAAAATTTAGAAGTGTTTAGTGGTTTATGTTTAAGTTAGGAAAATATCGGAACTGGTTGTTTATTTTATTTTCGTTCGTTAAGTTTTAAACATTTAAATTTTTTGGGGCTGGCCTCTAAGTTTATGCTTATTTATGTTTTGTGACGGTCTCACCTAATGATTGAGTAATTTACACTGTTACACTGTTTTCAGTAATAATGATTGATTATTGTTAGGTTTTTGTTGCGAATTTGCGTATTAGATCATGCGATTAATTGGTACTTATCAGATTTTTGTAGATGATGGCCCCTTCCACTCTAGGCTAGTTTGTTCCTTACATAAGGTGATTCATATTGGTCTAGGGTTAGATCTTCAGGTATGCTGTCATTTATCACTTAATTACTTCCGTGTCCGTATTCACTATATTCACTTGTTGGGGTTGCTTTATAATGCATTAATTTAATGTTTGACTTTGGGCAACAGGTACACTGATTTTCGTTGTCCAAGTAGTAAATCTTTGCTCTAATTTCGACCATTATTTTCCTTAAACTACACTGTATATGAGCGATTTTTATGTTTCCTTAAAACTTATTATTCGGTACACTTAAGAGCGATCGAATTCGAGAGCACATTTACTCGACTGGCCGTCTGTATCGGTACTCCTAATTAACATAAAATTAAAATTAACATGTAATAGATGTTGTAGAAGTTAATTCTATAGAATTGTATATCACATATTTCATTCACGCCTAAGGGTAAGTACACGTGTCCTGGCATATAACTAATTATAAGCATACGCCAGGACACGTGTACTTACCCTAATAATATTATAACTTCTTCGTGCAAAAATTACTAAACCGATTGTGATAAAACTTGGTATGTAGATAGCTGGAGACCGAAATTTCCACGGTATGGTGCATCACGCGGGTGAAACCGCAGGGTACATCTAATTATTATGTAAGTACTAGTTAAAATTTATAATATATGGCCGCTAAAGGGGCGCCGATGAGGTGCTTGCCCAGGGCGCTCTCGACATTTAATCCGCCTCTGACTGGGCCTTAGTGTACCAATTTAATGTCAACTAATAAATCCGAAATTTTACCATCAGCTGTTATGGAAACACGCATGCGCACAAACCTGATGTACTTTTAATAGCGGTACTCCCGGTGTACTTCTAGTCACGGCGTTTAATTTAACATCTCGTAGCAAGAGCGTCTCAAGAGCATTTAGATAATTCGGCCGGTATTTCATGTTTAATCTAATGGAAAATAATATTAACCTGTACCTAAATGGGGTTGGTATTCAGGTATTTATGCTAAAACAAAGAAGATTAGATTAGACGGAATTTTTGGTTAAAACGTTAAAACATAAATATTCAGTGTATGTATAGCGATAAGTTTAAATACCAAACTGGAGACTAATTTTGTATTAAGTTTTCGTAGTGTAGTGGTTATCACGTCTGCTTCACACGCAGAAGGTCCCCGGTTCGAACCCGGGCGGAAACATACTTTTTTTTTTTAATTTTTAATAATTAAGATTTAATTCAGTTTCGATTTGAAAAATTTAGTTCTTTTTCACGTTTTATTTTAGCTTAAATGTCAGTGAGATTTATTTTGTGGAATATTGTACATTTTTTAATGTTTTAACAAATGTTTATGATTTTATGATATAAAAAATTAACAAATATAAATATTCCCCTACACCAAAACAAAGTGCTTAAAGTACTTTAGGCCAATGAAATTAATTAATATACCTAATAATTATTAATCGATTCATATTTTTACAAATAATTAAATTGAGGTTGATGTATTGTAACTGATATTATAATATCAGTTACAATACATCAACCTCAATTTAATTATTTGTAAAAATATGAATCGATTAATAATTATAAGAAAATATATATTAAAAAAGGTGGTTTGGATTTTTTAAAATTCATTCTGAACTATAAACTCAAAACATTAATTTATTAAAATGAATAAACTAAATAATAATAATTATTATATTATTGGAATTAAAATTGAAGTTTGCTTATCGAGTAAAAAATAAATTGAAGCTTGGTTGTGAAGCAAGAAATAAAATTAAAGTAGATTAAAAGTTCTAACTTGCTGACACTGTCTATAATTATTATAGACTGTGTCAGCAAGTTAGAAATTTTAATCTACAAATTTTTGATTTATTATTATAAGTATCTGCCGTAGAAAAAGTATAGTATGCACCTCGTTTATAAACTTTTCTATACACTCATTAACTTAAGCACTCGCTCGCAAGCTCGCTCGTGCCTAAATTAAATTCGTGTATAAAATGGCGTTTATCAAACTTGATACATAATATACTATTAAAACATATATCGACCGCCTTAATTACATGAAATCCTAAATTATTTTATTTAAAATATTAAAAGTGTATATTTTAAAAACTAAAAACTCATTAACTGAAAACTTAAAAATAAAAAAAAAATATCCAAAAAAGTCAAAACTGTTTAAAATAACTTCACAAGCTTACACATGTGTCACAAGGTGCACCTTGACTTCGCTCCATAATATGGAGTCCATATATTTATCACAATTTCAGTAATAAAGCTTTAGGGTTAAACGCGTAACTATCCTTTTGACAAGATAAAAATTGCATGTAAAAATTCCCCACCCAAAAGTCGTGCAATGACCTTCGGTCTAAAGTCCGCTGCACAACAGCCCGGTAACGGGAACGGGAACGGGAAACTAAACGGTAAAGGTGGGAGAGACTCAGCGAACCCTATCTATCAACAGTGGTTTTTTAGTCTCTCCTACCTTTATTGTTAGGATTCCCGTTCCCGTTCCCGTTACCGGGCTATTGTGCAGCGGGCTTAAGACAGCGATTCGTTATAATGTTTATGTTGATTGAATCAGCGTACGGTAGCATTAATTTTGGCGCGTTTTAAGAAGTTAATGGTTAAGTTTGTAAAATCAATGTTTAGTGACCGTTGGGACAATGAAGACAGTTTATTATTATTTATGTTTTGCTGTTCATGGATCTATGACGAAAAATTTATTGTTTTAAAGATAAAGAACATCGTTTAATGATCGTCAATAGTTAATTCAATAAATTTTTATATTATACTGATGAAGGAAATAATTAATTTTTGATGTTTTGCATTTATCGTTTAATGTTGACTAGTTTATTGTTTCAATGTACTTAGTTATGATGAAAAAGCATTGTAATAATCACCAATACATAATATTAATGTACAAAAAATTGACGACAGCAGTTTATTAATTTTACGTACAGTTTTTCTTTCTGTGTAGGTTTTTCGATGAAACAACATTTTCAAAAATGACATTTAGGCAAACGTTAACTGAACTACATTATTTTTTGGTGTACGGCTAATATCAATATGGCGGATGTTAGTTATAACTAACAAACTAAGTTTTTCGGTTTTCTGCATGAATAGTTTTTTTGTATACCTATGTATGCAGAATACTTTGTATTTAAAACTTCTGTTTGTTATGTTTCTT